CTTTGGCCTATAAGATGTGATAAAAGTGCCCTAACTGGTTTGGCTCAGTGGATAGAGCGTCGGCCTGTGGACTGAAGAGTGCCAGATTTGATTCTGGTCAAGGGCATGTACCTTGGTTTTGGGCACATCCCCAATACGGGGTGTGCAGGAGGTAGCTGATCGATGTTTCTCTCTCATCGATGTTTCTAACTCTCTATCCCTCTCCCTTCCTCTCTGTAAAAAATCAATAAAATATATATATATTTTTTAAAAAAGATGTGGTAAAAGTGGTATGGATACTCCAGGTGACTAGAGACGTTATGGAGTAGAGTGGCAGAAAGGTAAATAGAGCTCCAGAAGGTGCGTCAAGTTTCCATTGGATCTCTTTGATCAATACAAAGTCACACATGGATAGAGTGAATCTGAGCAATTCTCAGGCCTCACATGGGATAAGGAGATTGTTAGAGTGGAGAGACCTTGTGAACACTTGGGGCATTTGGTTGAAACACAGAAATAACTTTACTTAGCAGTTCAGCTCTAGGTCAAAGAATTCTCTCTAGACCACCCTGACAAAGCTTAAAAACAGCCTCAGAAATATCAAGTTGATGCTCTAGTAATTTAATTGCCTACCAGAATAGAAATCAAGACTCTAAAGGAAGAAAAAAAAATCTAGACACTCATCAACACAAAATTCAAAATTTCCTACACCAATAAAAAATTACTGCCGAAACCGGTTTGGCTCAGTGGATAGAGCGTCAGCCTGCAGACTGAAAGGTCCCAGGTTCGATTCCGGTCAAGGGCATGTACCAGGGTTGCTGGCACATCCCCAGTAGGAGATGTGCAGGAGGCAGCTGATCGATGTTTCTCTCTCATCGATGTTTCTAACTCTCTATCTCTCTCTCTTCCTCTCTGTAAAAAATCAATAAAATATATTTAAAAAAAAAATTACTACACATGCCAAGAAGTAGAAAAGTGTGATCCATAACTAGAGGAGAAAAATTAGTCAATAGAAATAGACTCAGAAATGACAGAATGATAGAATTAGTAGACAAGAATTTTAAAATAGCTATTATAAATATGTTCAAGGGTTTAAAAGATAATGTAAACATAATAGAGAAGTAGAAAGTGTATCAATAAATGATATAAAAATTTGATATACATCTAGATATAGATATATGATATAGGTATAGATGTAGATGTAGATACAGATGGTATAGATATAGATGATATTAGATATATAGATATAGATAGATATAGATATAGACATAGATGATATAGATATATGATATAGATATATAATATAGGTATAGATATAGATATAGCTATAGATAGCTATAGATTTAGATATAGACACTGATATAGAAATAGATATATAGTGTAATTTCTAAAACTGTTCAACCAAGGGGGACTGAAACATAGAATACTAGTATTCATCCACTAACTCCTGCCCTCAGTAAGGGTTGCCTTTGAAGGCATAAAATCACTGGCCACCCTGCCTGTGAGCTGAGAAAACTCTCCCTGCCATTTCCCCCTTCTCATGCTCAAATGAAGAGAGCCCTCAAGAAAAGAATCAGAAGGATAGAGGAGACTGAGTTGAGAAGCTGTTAGCAGGAAGGTATGCTGCCCATTGCAACTAATTGGTATGCAGAAGGGATATGGAGTGGGGCATTAATGGTGAAGACAGGACTAGCCCTTTCTGCTATTATTTGTGTGGCTAGTCAGAAACAAGAGAGACAGTGTCATCTGTCACTTTGGATGGCCTCCATTATGCAACTACAAGTCTGCCATCTCTGCCTCCCCCAGTGTCTCTCCAGTTACTTCTGGGAGTCCTGAAAGGACATTTGGTAGAATTCACAAAGAAGAACTCTCAAGGACAGACTAGGGACAGCCATATTTCCTTCTTTCTGGCTCTAGCTCCTTTGGTTATACTGCTCAGGAAACCTCAGTCATTGTTGCCTTTGTTCTTTCTTTCCTGCTGGTGACCTCCAAGGTTGGGATGTGTCACGTAGGATTATTTACTTATGTCACCCATGACCACCATCTCATACACCCTTTTGTCCCATTTCCTGTCACAATACTCTCAATGAAAGACTGTTTTGTACTTGAAAAGTCTCAGGGAAATTTGGTGTGAAAACTACACTACATATCCCATGAGATCTGGGACTAACGCTGAGACAATGTTCATGGAGTTGGCCTGAGGATCAATGGCAGATTTCTGGAGCCATCCTTGCAACAACTTCAGAAAGTGTATTCTGCTATTATCGTCATTCTATAGAGGGTAAATGAAGTCAAGAAACTTGTCCAAGATCACACAGTCAACAAGTAATAGAGCTGGAATTTAATCTAAAGTTTATTTGGTTCTTTGAAACCTATGTCTTTAACCACCATGTAAACAGAAACATCTTTCTCTGTTTTATGCTCCATGTTACATAGTGACGAGAGTTAAGTGGACAGTCCAGACGAACAAGACAATGTTTGGGTACAAGAATTGATCTTAGGTGTGAGGGCTTTACTGAGCCCTTGGGGTCCTACCTGTAAATATTTTCCAAAGTCCTTTGACTTGGGGCAAGGGAATGAATGGCAATTATGGAGCTTCTAGAAAGGTTTCCATTTATTTACTTCTGTACAGTTCACAAATTTTCTTCCTTTTCATCTCATTCATAACTAACTTAATAACATTAGCATTATAAAGAGATTATTATTTTTAACTCTTTTAAGTGCAAAGAAAGCTCACAGAGGTTGTGTAGGGGTGAAAGGGATAGGTTTTAGGAAATTTTAGAAATTAAGGGGATCATGGAAGAAACAGGGCTGCAGAGCAGCAGAAGGTATATTTCCATAGAATAGGGGAGCTGAAAAGCTGCAACAGGTACATTTCCATAGAATGAGGGAGTTGGGAACAGCAAAAGGTCTATATTTACAAAATAAAGAGAAGGAAGCCCTTCATCCAGAAGAAGAAGAAGAAAGCCCAAAGGGACTAGGGAAACAATAAAGAAGGAGGGGGGAGAACCTCTCATGTACCATGTGAGGTTCAACCTTTGAGCCCAGGAGTTACTATAGTAACAAGTCTAAGGGAATAGTGACCAATCAGAGGGGATATCAAGGCACCAAGATCTGCAGCCTTATAAGCCGTGGGGAAAGGGAACTCAGTGGGGCCCTTTCCCCCTCCCCACGTGGGAGTCTGTACTTGTTCTTTAATAAATTTCCACCTTTGCTGTACCACCTTCTGTCCGTGGATTCATTCTTTGACTCTGGCGGATAAAGAATCCAGGTTCCAGTCCAAAAATTCTGCTTCATTGCTACTTAGAATAAAAGCCCATATTTACCCACCTACTTGGGGCAAGCCAGAACTTGATCTCAAGTATTCAGGCTGCTTCTTGTTTCTGCTAAAGACTTTACCACAGGTCTCAGGATTTACTGAACAAGTCCTGAATCAGAGACAAGCACACACCCCACACATCCACAAATATTCCTGCTTTTAAGGTTTGGAGTGTAGTTTCTTTTAGATTATAGGGATCTTTCCTCCCTTGACTTACAATTTTGTTTGTCTTGAAAACCTGAGTGCTGCTATCAACCTGGGGCAGTACTGAATATGAAATTCCAGTGGACTTTCTCAAGTCAAGCAATCTATCAGGTTCCATAGAAATTGCACGAGGAAAAGTAGGAACTAATGCACTCAAATCTTAAAACCATGCTACTTGATAAATTGGTATAAAGGATTGGAACAAACATTAAACTCACTGGTAGTTCCTTATAAATGACCTGGAGAGTGTTATGCTAAGCGAAATGAGCCAGTCAGAGAAAGACAAGTATCACATGATCTCACTCATATGTGAAGTCTAATGAACAAAATAAACTGTTAAACAAAATAGACCCAGAGACATAGAAACATGGAACAGACTGTGGAATCTTAGAGAGAATGTGGGGGGTAGGTGGGCGGGAGGTATGAGACCTATCAAAGAACTTGTATGCAAATATGCTTATCCTGTGGACACAGACAATAGGTTAGTGAAGGCCTGGGGTAGGGAGTGGGGGCAGGCTAGAAGGGGTCAATAGGGAAAAAAGGGGGGACAAACATAATACTTTCAACAATAAAGATTTAAGATATATAAAATGTATTAACTCCTCAAAAAAAGTAATTGAACCCACTTGGCCGGTGTAACTCAGCAGCTGAACACTGACCCAGGAACAAAGAGGTCACCAGTTTGATTCCCAGTCAAGGATGTTTCTATCTCTCTATCCCTCTCCCTTCCTCTCTCTATAAAAATCAATAAAACAAATTTAAAAAAATTGTAACCCAACTATCAATTAGATCTTTTCCTATGTGAAGTATTCAGCCATTCACTTTTTCTGCTTCTACTGATGAATCAAATTAGTTTTGAAAAAAATAAATCCGCTTTACCACCATTTCACAGCCATGCTTCATGAAACTGTCAATAATCGCTTGAAAACCCATTCAACAAAAACAATGCAATGGGAGTTCTTGTTAAGATAACTATAAAAATGTAAATCTTTTTAAGGAGGAGGTAAACTTGAGTAGCTAGGTAGCAAGGAGCTCCTTATTAAAAAAAGAACAACAACATAGCAGTAGCCCTGCTCCGTGTGAATCAGTGGGCTGCATGTCCTCCTGTGCACTGAAGGGTTGCTGGTTAGATCCCCGACCCACATCCAGGCACATATCCAGATTGGGAGTTCAGTCCCTGGTCCCTGGTCTCTCTCTCTCTCTCTCTCTCTCCCTCTCCTCTTCCCGCCCCCCCCCCCCTTTCTTTCTAAAATCAATGAAAACATATAACTCTTGCACTAAGAGGGGAGAGGTTGGTCCACAGTTGGGAAACCACATTCTTGGGTAGGTGAGAGCCAAGGGGAGTGACAGCTATCACTAGATGAAGTTAGCATAACCTAGACTTTGATTTATATGTGTAGCCAATTGAATACCCAAGGGAGGGCGGGGTGTTGAGAAACATTGATGTAAATTTTCAGATTATCCAGTAAAGCTTTTTTTCCAGAAAATAAAACAAGCACCATTTATTTTGAAATATTTTATTTATGTTCTTTTTTCACAAAACCATCAATAAATACTTAAACCTTTTTGTCTTAAGACAAAAGAACATAAATATTGCATAATTGACACTAACCAAGGCATTATGCCTTACAGGAAAGACATGAAATGTCCAAGGGATATTTAGTTCTTAAAGCTTCAACATTAGAAATGTTGACCACATATTGTGAAATTGTTCCAATAAATAACAACTGACATTCTTTTAAACACAAAAATAGATGCACACATACATTCCCCTACCCTACCCTTACTAATTATTGCTTGGATCCTCCATCCTCTATCATAGCAGCTGACCTTGCTGTGGGCTCCTCAGAAATGTTACTTTAATGGCTAGAGAATATTTGCAAACATTTTACCTTCAAACTGAATAAGAATCAGAATCGTATCAAGTTGGGTTTGCCATAATATAAACAATAAAAATAACAGTACAATGCCCAAGTAGAGGCAATGACATCCTTAATGATTTCACATGTAAAATATTAACTTAGAATATTTGAAAACAACCGATAAATAAATAAATAAGTAGAAGAAGTCTCCTAAGAGATGATCAAACATAGTAAGTCCAATCAAGGTGACTTTGGGGGCTGATGATTCCTCTTTATCCTCTTCGATTTCTGTAGGGCAGGGCCTGCTTCAGGTAGAGCCACCAATCCACTTCCTGCTTCGTCTGGTCAGTTGGAGCTGTCCCTATCATGAAAAAAAGGGTGTCCTTAGCAGCTGCTCAGGAAAGCCAGAGGCACAGCACTCTCCTCCTGCCCTCTAGATTCCAAAGACTTCTGAATCTAGTTTTCCTGACCTGCAGGAAGTGCCTGCTTCTAGGCTGTGTGACTGAGAGCTCTAGGCGCTTGGATGCTCTTATTTAGGAATGCAGGGGTGGTGGTGTCCGGGGCCCTTACCACCACCTCTGCATTCCTAAGTAAGGACTGATTCCTCAAAAAGGTGAATTGTTGACTTCAAACAGCCAGAACCTCTTGTGTAGATGAGTGCCAAGGGGAGTGACATGGGATCATCTGTCACACTGGGCCTCACTTGAGCCTCACAGCAACCCCAGGTAGTAGCTACTATTGTTTTACGGAGTGTAGAGAAGCTAAAGTATTTTCCTTGAGGTATATGGCTATTGGGGGGTCAAACCCAGATTTGTACTCAATGCAGTGTCACTGCAAAGTCCCTGTTCATCACCACTAACTAAGAATTGGGGCCTGTGATGCAGAGAAATGAGGATTCTGACTTTCAGGCTTGAAGCTCAGAAAGAATTGGGTGGGGGGAGGGCATTAACAGGTGGGAAGCTTTTTAGCATAACTGCCCAACACCAGTGAGAATTCTAATGAAAGCTGCTTTCCCACCTTCATCTGAATGGGGGTGGAGAGGGAAATGGGGATGGCAAGCACTGGAAATATCCTCCTGGACCAGAGCGCCTTCACTATCTAAATGGCAAATCTAACTGTGAACTAATGACTTTTCACTCCTTCAGCTACCCCCTGGGCTTCCCTGATTTAGTTTTCAGGAGGCAGAGGCCACTACCTGTCACAAATGACTCTAGTCACATAACTCACTTGTTTAACATCTTCTCCAATATTTTCTTAACCACGGGGGATGCGGGGTTGAGACAAACTTTCTGTCCATTCTTGAGAGTGGCTCTGCAGACAGAAGGGAGGACACAAGTGAGACAGGAGGGCGGGCGAGGGTCAGGGTGGGGGCATCTGGGCGGTGGAGGTGACCAGGATGGTGGCAGCAGCAGAGCTGGTGGCACTTACATGACTTCTGTTCGGTCGCAGTGGGGTCCTGGGGACGTCACCTTCACACTCTGGATGTTCTTGGGGTGAATTCCCGGCAAGGTCTCCAAGCACTGGCAGCGCAGTTCATTGACCACGGTCTCCTCTGCGAGGACCATAGGTGCCGCTGCAGGGAGAACAGGCTCTTGGTTAGCGGGGTGCCCCCAATGGGCGCCCACCCTTCATCCCCTTTTTCCTCCTTGGGCTCCAGGGGCTCAAGCCTCACCTGCAGCTTGCCGGCAGGCGGCGACCAGGAGCAGGAGCAGGAGCGCGGCCCGGAGGAACCCGGGAGCGCGGGGTGCAGCAGAGGCGGTGGCGGTGCGGGCCATGGGGCTGAGCTCGGAGGATCGGTGCTGCGGTGCCTGGAGTGTGAGAGCTGGCAGGAGAGCTGGTGGAGCGAGATCTGTGGCTCCCCGAGACGGGCGAACCCCTTTTATCCATGGTCGGGGAGGAAATTGCCTGGGGCAGGAAATTCCCGGACTTACACGTGGTTCCCTGGTCGGGACCGAGGGTGTGGCGGGGCCCCTGAGGGGTGTCGGGGTGGAGGACCTGAGGGTTCGACCTCTCACTGACTAAGCACTGTACGCTGTTCTTTCTGCCCCAATTCTCAAAGCGGGGATGAGTCGCTGCCGTGCAGGAGCTGCTGTCTGAGAGGGGGGACCATGGGCGCCCAGTGACCCTAGTGCGCAGGGTGGAGAAGGGCTGGGGGCGGATCCATGAGATCCTCCAGGGAAGGTGACACATCTTTAGACGGAAAGAGCTGTCTCTTTAGTTAACAGACCTGGGGGAGTCAAGGAGGGGTGTGAGGGTAAATTTTACTTAGCTATCTATATGTACTATATTTATATGCACTGCATGTCTCTCTAGATTTCAGGTTTATGTATAGTGCTCTCTGTTAAAAATAACCCAGTCATCTCGGATCCAGGGAGGAATGTTCTATCTGTCCCCTTGTTTTATAGTCTCAAAGGACACTTAGCATATCTTGGTTTTATTTTCTATTTGGTGATAAGAGGGATTCGTGTCAAAATTTACTCGTGTTAATTTCAATGACAATTGAAGGCTGTAATATGACCTCTTCTGTATCCTACTGAACCTCCTTATTCCCTCTTTAATGTTGCAGCTTCCAAAATTCCTGGGAGATCTCCTTTCCCACATGAGGGGTTCCGATTTGAACTATGACATACAAGACTGATGGTCACGCTAAAGCTTCCCAGGGGCTAGTCGGGCAGGCTCACCGCATCCCCTTCTCTGGTCTATCCTTGGACAAAATAGCACCTGAACACGAGGATGAGGGACCTGCTGCACCCTGACTCCCCTTGCATGGGGATGAAGCAGGGTTTCATTTACTACAAGAACTCAGTGTTGGTCCCCCTTTCTCTAGAAACAAACATTGACACATCTGTTTTCTGACCAGGAATTTCAGTCTTTTAACCTGATGGGTTTACTATTTTCTCAAATAGTAAAACATTGATTCAACATGAGGTATAGAGGATTCAAATGTACTTCTCCAGGTTGGATTCAGACCTCTTGGAGACATGGAGTAATGGGAGGAAGGGGAGGAGAAAGGAATGGCCACTGGCCCAGCAATGCACGTCCAGGGACAGGGGTCCAGGCAGCCCCGCTCCGTGGATATGAGTCTGTACCCCATAGCCAGACACTGGGTATGCAGTGAAGCCACCTGCATTTAGTTGCCACCTGTCACTTACAAGGTAAGTATTTCTTTGCCTTCCCTAATGTAGTTAAGGGAAATGAGTCATTTGTGAGAGCCAGCATGGATTAAGTGCCTTATAAACGTTTGTTAAATAAATAAACTGGAAATAGCTCTTTTTTTCCAGTTTGCCGAAACAGAAACTCAACCTGTGTGAATCCTAGAAAGAAAAAAATTCGTGATGAAAGGGTCACTCCTCAACTTTTCTTTTCACATTTAAACTTTTCAATATCAGGCATTCTAAAAGCAAGGCACATCTGAATTCTACTAGGAGATGCATTTATCTGGATTTTTTTTTTTACTGCTCTATCATTGATTTCTATTGTAGTCCCACTTTCAATCATTTCATCTATAAAAATGCAGTTTGCATTGAAGACTCTCCATCTGCCCTGGCTGGTTTGGCTCAGTGAATTGAGCTTGAGCCTGTGGACTGAAGGGTCCCGGGTTCGATTCTGGTCAAGGGCACGTGTCCAGGTTACAAGCTCCATCCCCAGTGTGGGGCGTGCAGAAGGCAGCCAATCAATGATTCTCTCTCATCATTGATGTTTCAATCTCTCTAGCCCCCTCCTTTCCTCTCTGAAATCAATAAAACATATTTTAAGAAAAGACTCTCCATCTTATTTATTGAAAGTGATTTAGAAAATGCATGACTATTTTTTTAAAAAAAACTCTAGTGTTTATCAATATGGTCCTGAGAGAAAAACCAGGGAAATGAAAGAGACATAAAAATTTGTGTTAAGCAATAGAAAAGGAGAAATAATCTAAAGCTTATAAAATATATGATAGCTCGCCCTGGCCGGTTTGGCTAAATGGATAGAGCGTTGACCTGCAGACTGAAAGGTCTCAGGTTCGATTCCAGTCAAGGGCATGCACCTTGGTTGAGGGCACATCCCCAGTGGCAGGGTGGGCGGCGGGGGGAGTGCAGGAGGCAGCTTATCAATGTTTCTCTCTCATTGATGTTTCTAGCTCTCTATCCCTCTCCCTTCCTCTCTGTAAAAAATCAATAAAATATATTTAAAAAAATATATATGATTGCTCATGAGTAATCAAGAATTTGTGTGGTTATTCCTCTTGTTATGGATCATTTTCTGGAATTTGATGGGAAACTGGCCCCAAAATACAAAAGCTACTCTTTAAAATTTAAAAGACGTGGGGTGGATTTTTTTGGCTTGTTTTCTGGTTGCAAGTTTTATACTGACTCATTTTATAAAGTTTGTAAAAGTCAGAAAGACATGAAGAGATTTTTTCCCCTCTAATCTCTCCTAACTTCTGTTTATGGAACAAATTTTAACAGGTCACTGAAAAAAAATTTTTTTCAACCAACATATTAGCTGACAAATTACAAGAACTTACAAGACACTGCATGAATATGAAAGAGGCCACTTCCTTTATTTATTACCACAGACCATGGGCAAGTTACTTAACGTCTACACTCATCCCAAGGTACAGCACAAATATTTTGTGCTAAATTCCAGGTGGTAGTCTAAAAGTTTTACAAATATTTATTCATTCAATATTCCAAACCTCCCCGTGAAGTAGATATTATTGTTTTCTTGATGGGGCTTTAAGGTTACAGATAAAGAACTGAGGCGCAGAGAGGTTAAGTAACTTTCCTAAGGTCACAGAATACTGAGCCTGGTTCTCAAACCCAGAGAGATGGCATTTAACCATTATGCTATGATGAAAACGCTCTGTGATATATGGGTAAGAACTTCCAGAGAGGAATGATTTAAAAAATGTTATTCTGATCATAGTAATAGTTATCTTACCCTGGAGTAATCTATGGAGAAATCTGGCAAATGTCCATCCATTAACTACATGATGAAGGTTAATATCATCAATGTGATGTCAGATGGAAATCATGTACCCACTGGTATGATATGATAACGAGAAGGGTACATCACCTCTTTGGTATTTTTTCTAAAAGTTCATAAACCCAGTCTAACCATGAGAACAACATTCTTCAAAACTAAGTTGAGAAATATTAAATAGATGACTATATTCTTCAAAACTGTCAAGGTCATGAATAATAGGAAAAGACTAAGATGCTATCACAGTTTAGAAGGAAGTATGGGGACATGATAACCACATCCTGAAGCAGAAAGAGGACAGTAAGTGGAAAAAAAAAACACAGTAAAATCCAAATAAAGTTTGGAGTTTTGTTAATAGTAATGTGTGATTGTTGCTTTCTTAGCTTTGGTAAATGTACCGTGGTAATGTAAAATGTTCGCAATGGGCAACTCGGAGAAAGTTACACTGAAACTACTATTTTTTCGACTTTTGTAAATTTAAAATTATTAGAAATGAAAAGTTCACTTTGAAAAACATTTCCCTTTCTCAATCAATGTAGAATACGTAAACACGTACCACCAAAATAAAATCAGTGGACATGCATGCTTTACATCATAGCTTCCTAGAAAGGGAATTGAATTTTTGTTGAGTTCACATTTTCTCAAACAATCCAAACTATCTGCTTCCTCCTTTTGGACACTTCACCATGTTTCATAGGCTTACTTAGTTTGTCTTCAGCATTAATCATGATGTCTAAATCTCTCATCTATTTCTTGTAACTGAAGAAAAACACAAAGTGTTTGCTGTAATGGTCTCCAGACCCAACTCTCAACTGAAGCAAATGAGGAGTACACAGGGAGTTCAAAATTCCAATTTATGAATGGGAGCTTCCAGAAAATCAAATTAAGTCTGTTCATCATTTGTGTAGATTCGATTCCTGGGAATGGCTTCATCAAAGTTACTCATTTTCAAAAATGAAATAGAAAAATTTTCTTCTCAGTTGTTGTTATTTTCTTCTTAACATGTCATTTGAATCCATAAGATCTCCATCAACCAAAATGTATAAATATTTATAAGCACAGGGATAGGTAATCTAGTGCTTACTCTCTTGCTTGAACAAGTGCTTCTATAAGATAATGACTTTTGTGGAGTTGATTGCCGAGTATTTATGCACAATCTTTGAATCTGTGCAATGGCTCTTAAAGAAATGGAAGAATCTTTAAAGTGGAAACTTTGGGGATTAAATTCTTTTTGCCCTGTAATCATTATGAATCAGAGTTTATATTTAGTACAATCCAGGATGATTACATCTTCTAGATCCACTGTTTTGCCCTGTCATTGCTACAGCCACTAACTTCATGCATATGTAAACTTAAAGCTCCTCACCTCAACTGTACCAGGTATCTTTCTGTCCTAAAGTTTCTCTGTCACTACCATGGGAAAATCTCTTGCCCAACAAGGAACAGGAGGTAATCAGTAACATTTCCCCTCCTTTCGTGTTTTAGGCAAATATTCAACCTGATTTCCCAGAGTGTCTCCAGTAGGACTAAACCCCAGTTGCCCACACCCTCTTTTCTATTTCACACTTTCCCAGTTTTCCAGTCCCCATATTGGGGACATTTCCCCAAATAAATTTTCCTGCATGGCAGGCTGATGACTAGCTCTGCTTTTTTGAGGGCACTTAGGCCAAGACACTGCTGCATCCTGAGAATGAGCCATGATGACTGGCAGGTGGGAATGGGCAGTGGAGCTCTGCTCTACCCTTAGAGCTTATTCGCACACAATTTCCAGATCTATTTCCCTAAAATTACCCAATGACTCTGGCTCCGTGGGAAGAAGAGTGAAGATTTCTGAACTTGACATTGAATTCTTGACTCAATCTACCCCATAGGCCAAGGGCATGAGTGTGCACTGGTAACGGAGTCAACGTT